ATAAACTCAAAGCCACAATTCCAGGTGAGCAATGTTGGTCATAAATCAGAGCGGTTACACACTTTTTTCTACTGTCTGTAGTAAACCTCAAGGAGGACAAAAGGTAGCTAGAAGGCTCCATTCCGTGGAAATTCAACACGTGCTGTGATGGACAGAAGTGCGCATTTGTCCCACATGTCCGCGCGGGATCTCCCCTTTGCGACTCATTGTCCTCCACCCAGCTTTCAGCAGCAGCATTGTACAGACAAAGTCGAAATGTAGCGCTGTGGCTGTTACTCAAGACGCATAATTACTGTTTCAAAAAAGGACTCTAGGTTGTCTTGTATCGATGTATACACTCACTCGACGAGGGTCGCCATTTAGAAGGAATGCCATTTCGGTACTGAGCCTTTCCACCTTCTTCACTAGAGCGTCGCGCTCGAGAACCAGCTCTTCTTTAATGCCAAGAACAGTATGTAGATCCGTTTCTATCTGTTTGAACTGAAATGGAAGTCATTACTGGAGTAGTTGCACGAAAACTAGGAATGAACCCACTTCCTTGTAGAGTTTCTCATACTTGCCAAGTTCGTCCTCCCCTGATTCCGCTGTTGATCTTCTCTGGAGACAATCGTCTGCTACGGCTGGCGTGTCTCCATCAAGATTCGCTACCTGAAGAAGAACAAGAAAGAGTTAATTTAAAAAATTGCATATATCGACTATGCGAACCTCGTACTTGGCAATCCGTTGCCGAAACAGTTTGCAGTCTTTTTGCAGATCGAACTTCTCTGCCTTTAGCTCTTCATTCTCTTTGAGTACTTCGTGCAATTCCTTCGTGAGAGTGTCGACCATATCGGTAAGTCGCTGCTTCTCAATCGAGAAGCTGGTTTTGATATCCACCTCATTCTGAAAGAGCATTCTCAAGTTCAGAGCTCATGGGACTAGCAAGCAAAGACCTACTGCAGCATATTTGTGGACTTCCTGTTCCACTCTTTCCAGATTTCTCTCCAGTGTCAAGGACCTCGCCTTGACAAGCCGATTTTCTTCTTGAGCTACTTCGAGGTCCTTCCCTAGTCTGACTATGGTTTCCGTCTTACTGTCAACTCTAGCTTGAAGCTGTTGAATCTTAATAATTAGAGGTCTTTCTGTGGTTGCAAATGTTGTCTTTTATAGCAGCCCGTAGCTAGGCAAGATTATTATTGAGAACATTACTCGCAACCTTTGTAAGCGAAGACAAGACAAAGTTCCAAACCGATATACAGGGTGTCCCAAAAAAATGTATCGAACGTTTG